TCAATACGCATATACTATCCGCAATTTTCTATATTTGTATGTATGTATGTTTTTATTCGTACTCAAATTAATTTGTTATTGTTATTCATAGATAGATAGGCTCATTTCATTGTTTGATTTGGTTGTTTTTATCACCTATCAAATTGCTTTTCAAACTCATTAAAATATGTATGTATGTATGTTTATAAAAAATAATATGTACTAAATTCATAAATAATATATTTGTACATATTATTTTGTTATTATATTCTGAATTAGTAACAATCTACGATTGTTCGGTTTGGATTCTGCAAGTGCGAAACTGAGGTCAGTATAGTTCATCTTTGTTTTTCTTTCTTACTTACCTCTATGTTTATGTAAATGAATATACATACACATATGTATGTATGTATATCTAAATTTTTTTTTTGATATTGATAAGAGATAACATTATTCCATTAATTAAGAAATAACAAAAAACTCTTTAAATATTCAGATATGTTTTTGTATACGAAAATAGTTATTTAGCTTTTTGTATTGTTCTTCGAATATTCCTCTAAATAATCTAATTCCAATAATTAATAGTTTAATACAATAATGCTATGTTCAGACACACCTTAATTTCACAAAAATCTTAATTTAATCTTCGTTTCAGCGAAATTGAGTTGTTTTTTCCATACAAAATTCAGTTTTAAGGTTAAAACAAAATTAAGGAAAATACCCTTACTTTCGTTGAAACGAAGGATGAAATTAAGAGACATTGCAAATGCAACTGTGCGTAAGATAAATTTTAGGCAAAAGATAATGTTGAGATAACGAAAAAGGACATTTTTTTTAAAATAAATATCAGTAACAGTTGAATACAATGAAACTGGGAAAATATTTTGAAAGTAGTGCAAATTTTTAAATTTAAATATAAAGAAAGAACTGTAACTGTTATTAATTTAAAATAGAGTGAAAAATAATAATTCACATCCCTGAAATCCACTAACACTAATAAAACTACTGGATGCCATTCTTTATAGTTATAATAATCAACTTTTAAAATTTCCCAGATACAAATGGTGTTTGGAACATTCGATTTATGAACAAAAAACATATGATTTCCTTAATTTGGGTCGGTAACTTAATTTCATTTTTAAGAAATTAAGGAAATTTGGCTGTCTGAACATAGTATAAGGGATGTATTTTTTGTTTTCTATATTATTATGATATGTTCCAAGAGTATATACGATAATAAATTGATTTTATATCTAAGAACTTCGTCTATCTACAAAAAATTTCCAGTTTTCTTTACTCCATGTCATGTATCTAAGCTCTTTAAATGATTTGGATGTTTTGGTGAATACTATTCGCCTCCATATTGCTGTTGGACGTCCTCTTCTTGATCCAGTTGGATTCTATTCTAAGGCTGAAGAACCGAGCCAACGATATTTTCTTTTTTTGAAGTTGGTGACTCATAAACTTTAACATAACATAAATATCATATCATAACTAACAACCATAAACTTTAAAGGCAGATAAACTTTGACTGCAGAGACGCATAGCTTTTGATTTTGACGTATTAATTTTAAGACCTGCTTTCACAGAGACGTTCGTTAGTTCGTTAGTAAGCATCTTTGCATTTCACTGTGATTAGAAGAAAGCAACACAACATCATCGGTGTAAGCCAAGTGTTTTAGCTTTTCATATAACTTAAACTGTATATCTCGTTCTTTAAGTTCAGCCTCGTTAAAGATCATAACTAGTGTCGTTATGAACAGTAGTTGGGAGAGAGCACAACCTTGTTTAATTCCTGATATTGTTGGAAAATACACGCTTAGTTGACCCGCATGTAAAACTCTACTTGTACCATCAAATGCTAGTTTTCTATAATAGTTAGAAATAAATAAAAATAAAATTATATTAAAATTATATAAATAAAAATAAAATACTAACCTAAGAAGTCTATCAACTTGGCCAAGTCTATAATATTGCATGATGACAGCTTCGTCAGGTCGGTAAAAAAAGGAACACAAAAGTTTTAAATCGAATGATAGGCACTAATGCGTGAGGTGAAGTATAGTTTTCTCCTCATCTGCAGAGCCACAACCCCGACAAACTACATTATAAGTTAGTAGTTGTTATATCCTTTTATAATTAATAATTAAGACATGCCAACTTAACTGATTGTCTTCTAGTTTAGAATGTAGAGATATGACTCTTAACGAATTCATTTCTATACTAATATAATAAAATATCGATTGTGTAAAGTAGAAATATATGTCTTAATTTAATAATTAGGCCACAATAGTAGTCTGATACGCAGAGATCATGATATCTGATCGGATAGATCATTTGCCCCAGTTTATTTAGCAATAATGAATGTTTTTTAACTAAATACTTATAAATTTTTACGTCTATAAACGTCTATTTATACTGTTTTTAGAAGTAATGTATTACTTCACAAATACTATAGAAAAGGAATATATGAGAAAAAGATACAGCTTCCAAGTTCTCACCGTTGACCAATCATCTGGAATAATGCAAATACTTCATATGTTTGAAATAGTATTAAAGTGATTGAATGTAAGATATCGTATTTTCGTTTGCTACGTTGGTCACAATTAGAATACTTATATTATAGTGCTGGTTATAATTTTTAAAATAATTTATTAATTATAATCCAAGTTCCTCACATTTATTTTTCCCATACGTCTTTTTCCTATAAATTTACCATTGACATGGTAGACATGAGGTAGAATTTGAGGTTCTATGTTCCCCAATTAGATAAAGGAGCTAACAACACAACATATGTAGAGTTCTGAGAAGATTATTTAAAATGACTGCTAAGTTTAATGTACCATCCTTCCTCCCGTGATATTACTTAGTCAACTGCCTATTAATTTATTCGTTACAGCTTTACTTATTTTTTCCACTTTCAAGAAAGCATCATCTGCAAAATTATAATGACATGAAATATAAACAAGACACATTACTGTTTATTTATTTTTTTGTTTTACTTTGTACTTTGCGTTTTCTGTGCATGTCTTTTATAAAAAGGGCTGCTATTTGTAGTATATTATACAGAACTGTATAATATATATGTATGTTAAACATGCTGAGATCTGTAGATCTAAACCAGTTTAATTGCTGCCATTATCTTTCTGCTATAATTATTATTACTGATAATACTATTTGTAGTATCTAATAGAACAGAACTGTATAATATATATGTTAAACATGCTGAGTTCTGTAGATCTAAACCAGTTTAAGATATTTGAGGTGTTATAATCATGTTCTTTTTTTGTTAAATTATTTAGACAAGTTGAAAATAAACTATATACTTTTAGTTTTTCGATTCGATTTCATCAGTTTCACATCTAGTAAAGCAAAACAAGTTAAGGTTGTAACTTAAAATTATATTTAATGTGTGAGCTACATACCTTAAATCACAATTCCGCATTTGTTGTATTTTGTATAAAGAAGTTCTAACATAAAAACTTTTAACATATTTTTCATTATACTTTATTCTACTCATCCCTTGCTCTCGACATAGTGTAGTGTCATGCTATAAGTCATTTTGTTCTATCTCTTGCTAAGGTAACGCTTCATTTACATTAAGACTGAAAAGTTTTCGGAAATTCTCATTTAAAATTCGCGCGCTGTATATTTTTCGATATTTTAAGTTTATGTAGTTTGGCAGCACTGTCCTTAATTACTATGCCAAAAATGAGCTCGATCTGTCAGACAGTTCGTTTACGGCAGCTGTTGAAACCAGTTCACCTCAGTAGTGCGTTGCGAAATGTCTTCGACGGTCGTACGACCGTCCTGGAAGGCTTTGTACCACTCATAAACTTGAGTTTTCGATAAAACTGATTCCCCATAAGCCTTTTGTAGCATTCGCAACGATTCTGCACACGAAATTTCGTTCGAAACACAAAATTTGATGCAAACTCTTTGTTCAATATTTTTTTCCATTGTTTTTTTCGCAACGCCCTACTGAGGTGAACTGGTTTCAACAGCTGCCGTAAACGAACTGTCTGACAGATCGCGCTCATTTTTGGCATAGTAATTAAGGACAGTGCTGCCAAACTACATAAACTTAAAATATCGAAAAATATACAGCGCGCGAATTTTAAATGAGAATTTCCGAAAACTTTTCGGTCTTAATGTATAGCTTTTCCGAACAAAGATTGTGTATAATCAGCTGTTCTAAGATTCTTGATCGTATAACTACGCGACTAAATCCAATATACATTACGTATTATTTTTAAAAATCTGATTCTCTATGACATTCTTGACACTCACAGTTCTAAGTTTAATTTAATAATTATTATTTGGTGCTTCATCTGTATAGGTAGCTATTGTAAAGATAATCACTATTTACTAATCAAAGGTTTGTATATTAAGTGACGATTCTTTATCGTTCCATATTTTAATGCAATATATAACCTTTGTTTAAGCCTAACTAGATCATAGATCAAGTATATATATACATACATATATATGTATACATATATAAAAATATTTTCTTCGATAACCCCAAATGTCTTTCAATTTTAATAATAAAAATGAAAATTGTGGAGAGCATGTTAGAACCCATCGTACTTTAATTTTATACTAAGATCTTTTGTGCTCCCGTCATAAAATCACGTATTGTTCAACATTATTTCGAATATATATTTTTTTAAGTAATACTAAACATACTATGTCTGCAAAAAGTAATTGTTTATCTCAATGAATGTTATCTTAGCAAAATGTTTAAATATTCCCACAAGCATTTGAATGAACTTCTATTTGATAATTTTTTTCTGCCTTTAGTTTTGAAATTTTAAAATTATCTTTAATTTTTTTTAAATATTGTGGCACAGTCTATAAATGCGAGCCTTTTATTTGAAACCCAAAAATCATTTATCCTAAAATACAATTCTTAATTATCTTAATTATCTTAAATTTAATAAATAAAATTAGGTATTTGATTCATATTATTAAACCTACAAATTCCCTTATTTTTCATTAAAAATATTTTTTTCTTTCAGCATGGCCTGCATTCAAGATGAACTGGGACACTTAGGACTAGCCGCTACAGACTTGCCATTTAAAGCCGATACACCTCATTTACCACATACCAATATTGATATAGATGGAACAGACAGCAGTGCTGAAAATACATGTCAACATCGATGGCCTCCCAACTCGGGCACCTTCGGTCATAACGATAAGCCAATTGGTTGGATGTACGGATTACTCGGTTGCATGAAACCGGTTTTATCGTTTATAGGCAAAGCTGGTGTTATCGAAATTAAAAATCCGAAAAGTGAAGATTGGGAAATACCTTTTGAGTCTATAACTGATTTAGAATGGCTGGGTAGTGGCGCACAAGGAGCAGTATTTAGTGGTAAATTAAAAAATGAAACTGTAGCTGTTAAAAAAGTAAAGGAATTAAAGGAAACGGATATAAAACACTTGCGAAAACTAGATCATGTTAATATTATTAAATTCAAGTAAGTTATACTATAAACCAATATTATTACTAAAAACTAATGATTTATCTCGAATTCATAGGGGTGTATGCACACAATCACCAGTGTTCTGCATTATTATGGAATTTTGTCCATATGGTCCATTGCAGAATATTTTGAAAGAGAATGAAGTTATGTTACCCTCTCGTTTGGTATCATGGTCAAAGCAAATAGCAAATGGCATGCAATATCTGCATTCTCACAAAATTATACACAGAGACTTGAAAAGCCCAAAGTAAGTTATTTACTAAAATATATTTTATTAAATAAAACATTCTTATAAATATATTATTGATATATTTTTAGCATACTGATAAGTACAAATGAAGTGGTAAAAATAAGTGATTTTGGTACTAGCCGAGAGTGGAATGAAATAAGTACAAAAATGAGTTTTGCTGGTACAGTTGCTTGGATGGCACCGGAGGTTATACGCAATGAACCATG